AGCGTGTTCTCAAGGCACATTATTTCAATTTGCATTCAAGTTCATACAGAGTTCCTCCACAATTTCGAAATGCCGATGACAGCGGAGTATTCCATGGTGAAACTGGTGGAAGGATTAATGGTGTACTCAGTTTAGCCAAACCTACTTTTGCTCCGCGTCGTCTCTCAGCAAAGACGTAGAGAATGGACTGCGCGATCCGTGTGTGAAAATGGTCGATAGGGATGAGAGAGGGACCATGGCAGACGGCCATTTCTATCTCTTTCCATTCAATGGTGTAATGGGAGAGAGAATGAGAGGGAGATTGGCTGTCTCCCACGGTCTCTCTCTCTCAATTTGTCGATCACATTTGATACACTACTTAAATACGGATCGCGCAGTCCATTCTCTATGTCTTTGTCTCTCAGTGCGCAGTCTACCAACTGTGAATCGCGAAACATGGGACGGTATTCATAGTTCGTTTTTATTTTAAAACCATCTTAAATATAATGGATGCATTCAGTACTACGACCGCTCACTAAGCGCTCAGTGAGCTCTTGTATCTGTTTGGTCCATATTTTGAGATCTAACGGAATATGCCAATCAGATCCAAGAGCTCACTGAACGCTCAGTGAGCGGTCGTAGTACTGAATGCACCTAATATCTTAAGATGTTAATACAGTCCTCGGATTGACTTACGACAGTCTCTTAAATGTAAGAATCGACTATGAATACCGACCTGTTTTGTGTTATGAAGTTGGTACTAAATCTTTCCTCGTGTAAGAAAAGATTCTTTCTATAGAAAGAGAAACATAAAGTACAGTCTTAAGTACAGTCTTAAGATGTCATAAGTCAATCCAAGGACTGTATTAGCAGCTTAAGATATTATTTAAGACAGTTTTAAAATAAAAACGGACCTATGAATATCGCCCTATATGTTTCGCGTTTCACAGTTGGTAGCCTTTGTCTCTCACGCGACATCCATAGAAAGAGACGGCTGAGATTTAAAGAGAGACGCTTGCAAACTGAGTACACTATTTATTCCTTCCACCATGGTTCATACTCAGTTGCTCCATCAAAGGTTTGTGATATATTTACTTCGGAAAATTAGGTACAGCTAGGTACACACGAGATACACACAACACTCAACAGACAACAACACATCTCGACACGTCTTCAGACACATTATTTCAATGGCATTCGAGTTCATACTGAGTTGCTCCACAATTTCGAAGCGTTGACAGCTGAATATTCGTCCTAACAGAGTATAGCGTACACACACCAACTCCAAGCACATTATTTCGATCGCATTCGAGTTCATAACTAGTTGCTTCACGATTTCAAAGTGCCGACAACCGAGTATTCGTTTTGACAAAGTTCTTGTGGCAGAAAACAGTTCCCGATCACTTAATTACAGACGGATGAACAGAAAACCGCGAGCTACGAATAATTGCGTTCCCGCGTTTCAAATACGTCTTCGGTTAGTTCCGTTATTCCTCGGATGCGCTCGGCTCGCGAGACGCCAGCCCGCGCGCTCGTTAATTTCAAAAAATTTTACTACGCGCTTCAAAAACACGACATTCTATACGTTCCGATATCGTCCTACGATATCAAGATATGGCCCGAAAACGTTCTGAAACATATATGTATTTGCTTCATTTCCTTTTTGACAGGTACGGAAAAGCACGAATTAAAATACAACGCACATCAACGAATGCGAAAGCATCGCGTTTCGAATAAATTCGGCAAATGTGATCCTTTTTTTAGCAACACTCTAGCGTCTTTAATTGAGTTGCTTTTTTACGCGATTTTGAAATGTCGCGTAATACTCGAAATATGAAGATATTTTTGATACATTCCTCCTGATATTTCGACACTCGTGTGAGGAATTTTGCAAAGAAGAAGCGTCGCACTTCGAATGCTTATCGAGTATAAACAAGGTCATCGAGAGACCTTGTTTACGCTTAATTTGCCGCTTTTTATCTCTACAATATAATCATAATATTCTTCAATATTCAGAAATACTCGTGTAATATACCTATCCCTCACCGAAAAAGCACCGTACACTGAAAAAATTTACTAAACCATAATACATATTTTTTGAAATGGTATTAAGTAAATGTTTACTTACAGTGTAGAAAGATATTTAATTAAAAGATTATTAAAAAATGATAGTTAAATCAAATTAACGGTTTTTTATATCAAATAAATTATATGTATATGTTTATATTTAGTAAATATTTACTTAAACCTATTCAAATATTTATTAAAATTTAGTTTTTTTTCAGTGTACGGTTCACACACGAAAAGAACGATTTTGCTTAAGTATCTAAAAATTTAGCTTGGGATATTAAAATAATTGTGTGGGACTTTCAAATTTATTGCAAGAATTTTTGCAAAATTTGTTGTAAAATTATTTACAGTATTTCAATGAAACGTTATACTTTTACATTTCAATAAAAAAACAACGGTAACAAATAATCACCAATACATAGAACGGAAAAAGAAAGAGAAAAATAAGTGTAACGAATAAAATAATAAAATTTATATAACTATAACAGATACAACAGCAGAATTGCGATTTAAATAACATAACGCAATTTCAGCAATTTTATACGAAGTATACTTTGTATAAAGCAGAGATTAATTGGAGTTCATCGAACACAATATTTTCACATTAGAATGGTTGAAATCAATTGATGACGTTTAGTGGACAGTGACATGCTTGTTACCGGTATTCTATAATGAAATATACAGTTTCGAGATTATTCACGTTATACAAGCTTAATTCATAACATAATTTGAAGCTTCATCACTGTCTTGATGCACTTCTATCACCATTTTCCTGTGCAAGCATTTGTAACTGTCTGTTACCTGCAAAATACAGGCTGTACATGATAAACTTTATTTTTAGAAATAAAAACAGATACATATTTTTAGGTACTTTTATTGTAAAAAATTAAAAAAATTTTTTACAAAGAATTACTAAACTTTCGCATGAGCATCTTTAAGCAAAAAGCAGGTACATATTCCACTTCATGCCAAATGCGCTGAAGTATGTCATTAGTTATGGTGCCAATGACGGTCACAATTGCGCAAAACATTCACGTTCGGTACTTTTGTGGTCTAAACGTCCACCAAGTTCTTGATATATCCCCAAAAAAAGAAATCCAAGGGAGAGGCTGTCAAAGGAATGAGATGACCAGGAAATGGAGCTCCCTCGGTCGATCCAACGACCTAGAAAAACTGAAGGTACTCACGTGGAAGTTTGGAAATTTTTTGTAAAAAAGTTTTTTAGTAGTTCCTTACAATAGAAGTGCCTAATAATATGTGTGTTAATTTTTTATTTCAAAATACTGAAGATTAATCACATACACTCGTCCAAGTATCCAGCATATTCTGCATGCATAACAAACAATTCCCTTCGCAATACAATCGCGATTGTAATTTCCATTTTAACGAGAATAAGAAAAGAGAAAAAGATGCAATGGGAGCAATCAGCTGGTACTGTCGACAGATGCTTCAAAGGATGCGTACGGAATTCCCAACCTGTTGAAGTCCCGAAATCCGTTTCCTACGAGTGCACCCCAACAAGTCGACGACATTCGGATTTCAATCCGATCGACGAGAAAGGGAGGGTGTCTAAAGGAGCGAGAAAATTCTTGTCAAGTGGCGGCACGCGAAAATTGAATTTTCGGTTTTCTTGGATAGCCACCATCACCACCACCGCAAATTCACTCCTCTCCTCTCCGAATTGGCCCTTCGCAAATTTTCCCCCTCGATTTGCGTGATCCAAATCGCTTGAGTGACCCTCGACCACCCTCTCCCTCCCTCTTCATCATTGCCTCGTGCCTTCGGTCCGTCGCGGTGCATTTAAATCGACTGCTTAAGTTGACTATACACTAATCTCGTAATTCATTTACATATTTAACGCGCGCGTCGTCGGCAAAGTTCGTTGTACGGGATGGGAGGAAACAGAGGGTGTGGCAAAGGAAGCGCAACGAAGGGGGTAATTAGTTATGCATGTGTACTTGTCGGCCCATCTCGGTGAACCCTTAACTTCTTTAATTTAATAACACGCGAGCCGGAACGAGAATTATCACGTCGAAGACAAATATGGATAAAAAAAGAAAAGAAAGTGTTCTCTTCGCTTAATTGAAATCTTGGTACGAACGCGACGAACACTCATCAATTTTTTCGAAATGACAGAACTTGATCTACGAGCAAAGCACGCAAGCACGCAAGGCGTGAAGCCGTTCTCGTTAGTCCTTATGCAACTTCGATAACTTGGAGAAGTTGACTTCAGTTGTTACCTGAGTGAACGATATCGATTATCGTCCAATGTTCTTGTTCTTCGACGATGAAATATGCTCTCCGTTTTCCCTGGAGATGGATGAGAGATGAGAGGCGGGGGAAGGACGAGCTCCTCGAGTAAAGGATCGGGACGCTTCGCTCGGCCTCGATCTAGCATGGAAATACAAAATCGCCGTCTGTTTCCGGTGAGCTTCGGAGAATGGCGAAGTTACGTCCCGTATAGGTATGCGCACATATATTTCGTATTGGACAGCGTCAGGAAATTAAGCGAGGTGGTCTCAAGGGCGACGTTCGGACCTCAAACTTCGGCCAGGGAACTTTTCTCGGCATTGTGCCTAGATTTATCTCTTCCCGAAGTGTCGAACTGCTTTCGGGAGAAGAGCCACGGCACCAAGAAATATATTATTGCCGGCCGTGACTGGTGTACAAACGTAGTTCGCTCATCGAGACAATGGTGAAAGATCAAGAGAAGAGGAGATGGAAATTATCGATGACTAAATAATCGATAACGATAATTAAATTATTATAATTCAATCACAATAACATTCTTTTACACTTATTATTTATTATTTACGGTAACATCTAATATATATAATATACGTTTCTTTATAGCTTCTGAATTTCTGTTGAAAAAGAGTTCTACGTGATGCTGAACTAACGGATTTATTTAATTCGAATGTGCTGTGAGAAGAAGAGAGGACAGATTTCTCGACGTTCTACTCGGCGAGATGAGAATCTAAATTATTCACACATTTATTCCCTGCTTGTGTGCTTCGTCTATATATTTGGTAGTGTATTGGCCACTGGGATCGTACTTCTTCTTAAGTTGCTCCCAAGTTTCCGGTTTCTGAAATAAAGTAAAAGATCGAATAAGCAATCGCCCTTGTATCTTCTGTAACAAGTTTGCGTAACAGGATTGCATTTATCGAAGACGTATCGTTAGTTGCATCTACATAAAATAAAGCTGCACGAAGATTTTTACTCTGAAAGTTTTCTTACTTTAATACTTTGTATTGAGAAATGCCCTGAGATAGAGCTATATTACATCATTACGTTATCGTGAAATTCAGTCAAAAGCAGTAATGCACAATTATAAAAATGCGATAAGACCAGTAATTTCAAAGACAAACTCTTATATGCATTAAAAATAATATCTTTTTAAAGGATTCAAATCGCCATATCGATACTACGTGAAAAACGCGTACAATATTTCAGAAATTGTTGTAAAACGCAATATATTCGAAACGAGATAGCTTGGAACTGCTTTAAAATTGCTAAAATATGACTGCCCAGTCGGGGGTGAAATCAGTTCTCGAAAGAAGGGCTCGAAGGGTCGAAGGGACGGCGGATTCACATCGCCGTTAAATTATTTGGCTACGGATGCGAAAGTTTCCAGGCGTGGTTCGCAAACGAATCACAGGGGCACCCCCTGCCACCCAGCGTGGAGGGTTAACCCGTCTCTGCGTGAAAGTCAAACTAGTTCCACGGCATTTAAACCGCCTCGACGTATCCCCCGAGCGTTCCTACTCCCACCGGTATCAACTCATTACGCAGACCTCGCGTTTAATTAGCCCAGTGAAAAGTGACGGGCGAGCATACATGTTAGCGCGAACATATACCTTGTTGACTAGATACCGGACGACCTTCTCGGTACCCTTCTTTTGCTTCTCGCTGCATTTACTACACTCGGTCGACAGTGCGTCCGGAAGAGTTTCTGAAACAAACAGGAAAAAATAAATTACGAGAGGAATTCAGATCAGGGACATGGCTGCGCGAAATTCAATTCCGTTGGATAGCATACGCTATCGGGTTATGAAATTACGCAGTTATAAGGTTCTTCAAAAAAATTAAGGATCGTTTTTCCTTTTATCTTTCTAAATAAAATATCGATTTGATTCCTTTCTTTTTTTTTTTTTCGTCGATAAATATTTTAGCGAATATATCCTTTCATAAGGTTATTTTTATCGCGACGGAGTTCTTCGTAGGAGTTCATAATGACGTATTTCTCGAATACGCGACGTCCTGCAGGATTTGTCTCAGCTTTTTTATCACTCCGCGTCATTTGCACCACCTGCTCTGGTCAGCTGACTGTACACTCCCGCATATCTCTCGTGAATTTTCTGAGACAAGACTATACATTCTCGGTAACGTATTACCGTCCATCGCACGTTTTATCTCGCGACGGGGTAGCACGCCAAGGTAAAAAGAAATTCGAGAAGAAACAGACGATAAACGTGATTCTAACGTAGAGAAATAAATCGTGATACGTGCGACAAGTAATTAATGCAATTTGCAGGAAATGCAATCTGCGGAAATACACCGAGCAAATAATTGGTTTCTAGTATCCGTGTCTCAACTCTGTACATATATAGGATTTTTGCGCGAGGAAACGTTATGTTCGTGAGCAAAATTTTCACCTGAAAAGAACTAACGCGTACGTTTGTTCTTCGCGACGCTAACCGCGAACGTACACGTATACACGCAAAATGTCTCACGACACCAAGCAACTTTTTGTCCAAATCTCCTCAGCGTAGCAGTCGTTTGTAACGTATTATTCATATCTGGAGCTGAAGTGATATATGCCTGCTTCGTACATATGTAACATCGTTAACGAGACGACCTCGCATTGTGCATCCTTCGACGAGATGAGACGGAATGAGATGGTCATTAGTGCCAAGGATGATTCTCCCGCGCATTAGAAAGCATGTGAAAGATCATCATTACCGTCTCATTTCATCGTGCATGTTTTGCCATGTTATCGAACCAAATGCAACATCAAACACATTATTCTACGCTTCCATGGATACTTCGTATTTTTTTTAATTTCTATATTTTTACTCTTTGTATTACGAGAGAGTTATGTTTGAATGAAGTAACATTACTAACGTTTGAATAGAAAAATCTAGCGAAGAATAATTAGTGAAATCTCAAAACACTCACCTTTAAGCTCTTTGCCATCGGGCGTGCAACTTCCCTTCTCTAGTAGGCAATTTACATAGTTTTTGAGCAAACGGTCGCTCGCCAAAATCGTGTCCAAGTCAACATTGTCGTACTTTGTCGTATACTTGTCCTCTGCCAAAACTATCGCTACCACGAGAAGAAATAGAGCCAGGACCTAGAATGGGCATTAAAAAATTTCTTATTTTTCTCTGTATGAAGGAATATCCAAAAATCTACACTGAAAAACATAATATTGTATTTAACTTGAACGTTGAGAATGACCCAATAGGGGTCGAAAGTCGAGAAACGTTTGTATAATAAACTTCGGTTTTAGTAATTTTTAGCATTAAGATCGAGCTTGGCTTGTAGCCGTTGGTTTATTTTTAATTACATAATATTGTACCAACAGCATTATTTTAATTCAAAATAATCCCATTAATTCAATAACAATATTAATGATTCATTAATACTGTTATTAAATTTTATTAAAATAAGAGCATAATGTATTTATTTGTTCATTAATAATGTTATGAATTAATAAAATTATTTTTCATGAGAATAATGCTGTTGATGTACTCTTTTTTTCAAGACGATATATAATTTAGACTTCTAGACAATCACTAGAGTGTCTGTGTTATATGTAAGAATGAGATACGAAATCATCATTTATGGATTCTTTGGGAATTTGATTTTAAAATCCGGAAAACTGATTCGCGTATTATCGAATCGTCACAAATACATAGCGCAACTGCGAACAAAGTGTCAGAATTCAGGATGGCCTCGGGTCACCACGCTAAATGTCGCACGTGCATACGTGGTTAAATGTTTGCCACCGTCGAGCTGGTTGCGTTCATAATCGCGCTGCCGAAACGCAGAATCGTATGCGGGCATGTTTAGCGCGTGATGTGAATATCAACGAGCGAGTGCGTGCGTGTTATACGTGTTATGCACCACTCGTGTGTGCGTTCGTGCTCATGGACTATGGAAATTCCTGTAGGCCCCATCGGAAATAGAAATAGCGCAAGGCCCCTACAGGCTTACGGAAAACAGAAACAGAGAATCGAATACGTGCTCGTACGTCTCATTAGTAGGTAAAGACAGAGAGTGGACGGCCAGTGGGGCGCAGCGGATGGAGTTGTTTTGAAATCAAATCAATTATACGGAATGTGTCAAACGATTTCTCAAACGCAGTTACGTAGAGCGTTAAGAGACACTTCTATTATTGCGATTCTCGAATACTTGAAACGTCAAAACACATTTCTACGGGTACGATGTTTATGAAATGAAATCTTGAGAACTTGAACTATTCATTTACCTCTATGGGAACTAATTTTCAGAAATTTCAATAATAAATATTAATTAATATCGCATCTTATTTAAATTAGTTATCAGCAGATAAACGTGTAGGTTATTATTCAAATGAATTATTCATATGTGAATATTACAAAAAAGGAAATCGTATTAATGATCAATGTCAAACTGTGAAAAAAGAAAATATTGCGTATTCTCATATACACACATACATACATATACTTGTTCTTTTAACTTCAAGGCATAAAATGACATTAATCACTCCTGTTCCAAGTATCAGTTTAGCGGCTGTTTCTCACAAAAAAACACTTAATAGGTAAATCTTGAATTACGCAATTCAATCTGATAGATAATAATTAGAATAAATTTTCAATTAATAAAAAAATAGATTAATTATGATGTGTGTTTGAAGCAGAAGAACTACAAAAAGAAGTTTATACACCTAGTTGTATATGTAATACTTAATCTTAAAAAATTGATAAAAAAAAAGGTGTAGTTAATATAATTTTTAAAGTTAAAAATATAATATTCTTAGAATTTAGATCTTTCCTTAAGATTCATAGTTTATTTCGTCGAAAAGACAAACCACAATATTTTCGACTAGCTGGTTCAAACTCAAAAGCGAGAGAATCTCTCACCCTCCCCTAAAGACCACGACCAGATGGTTACGCTAGTACATAACGGGTTAATGTCGGAGAGTTAGTTAGGATGTTAATTAGTATAGAATGGACCTCTCTCTATCTCTCTCTCTCTTTCTCCGACGCAGAGGAAGTATGTCTACGCGATATACATACGATACCCGTTATACTTTGGCGAAAGGTAAAGTGCAAAGGGCGACGACCGAAATGACGTTATCCTCGCCCAGAGACATTTAGCTCTTTCAGGGAAGAAAACGTAGGTATTTAACAGACATGTGAATATGTTCGTATATTAAACATCCGTTTGCATTATGCTCAGTAATTTCTTGACGAGCCAAGAAACTTAATAAACTATGCTATTGTATCTGTTTAATCCAAATAAATAATTTAAGGTGGTTCTTTAGTAAAGTGCCGAAAATTTGGGGTGCCTCACCAGGGCCCACCCAAAATTACAAATATCTGCATAATTTGGATAAAATATTAAAACTACGTGTATATCTTAATGAAATAGTATGGAACGTACGATAGTAAATCAAGAACTGCAGCTTTATCGAACGAAAACAAGATGAAATTATATATTTATTTTTCGAGATTAAATTTATATGCAAATTTATTAGAGTCAGACCGAAATTTTGATTTTAGTTTCGGTTAGTTTCGGTCAAAAATCAGGATTTCGGTTTGATTCCGATTTCGGCCGAAACGAAGAGAAAATTTCAGTGAATAAACCGAAACTGTACAAGTTGCAACGCGCTGGTGAGTGTTCAAAAAACAACTACTCGATTTTAATTATTAATTTGTTCATTAAGCTTAATACAATTTGAGTACAAACTGTGATGTGATCCTCTTAATAACTGTAATTTGATTTCTTTAAAAGTTGAGGATGCAATATAATTATATCATTATAGTTAAATATTTTAATAAAATCTTATTTTTTAAAAAGTGCATAAATTTATCATAATTTCTGAAAATCATATGGTCTCTGTAAAATTAATAAAAAAATGTCGATTTCGAGTCTGGCCCAAAAAAATGTAACTTCATTAGCTTATCTTTCTCTTTTTTTTTTTAGTAAGACTCTTTCAATAAGACTAAGTTTCGGTTTCGGTCGGAGATCAAAATGTGGTTTCGGTCGGACTCTAAAGTTTATGCACATAAATATCTTTCCAGAATGGCCGTTGGCCTATTACTTTTTTGTGACCATTAAAATCATAATTTTTTAATCTATAATAATCTCGTTTTTAAGAAAAGTCTATGGTAAAGGCCTAAACACAATGCGGCGAAAGAAATAAAGGCCAATCAATCAGATCGCGCACATACTATAGTATGCTCTTCTGCTTCAGTAGTAACCTAAAAACGTTAAGTCACATTAAGCCATTACAGGACAAAAATTGCCTTCAATTAAGTATTTTTTTAAGGAGATCGATTTTTTTACAAGATCGATTAAAAGTTCGTCACCGAATTTTTCATAATCACCCACTTAGTTATCGTCGATGTCTTGTACGTCATAATGTACTATCGATAATGTATTATCCGTAAGGTAATTATTATCACAGTAATTGGAACGATCCATTTTTGGCAGTTTCTCATAATCAAACTAGTTGAGTCGAAACTGGAATTGAACGGATATTGACAGATATCGTGAAAAGAGGTTATAGCGTAAATAAACAGAATGAAAAATCTGAACGCTGATTGGTAGGCTATAAGGCGATAGACACAGAATTCCTTGTCGGAAATTTATCACTATCGCTATTCCATGTTCCTATGTGCATTGACATATGGATTCCCGTATGTTGGATTCCTCTGTCCCTATCGATATCGCTATGTCTATCGCTATCGCTATTGCCTCGCATTGTGTTTTGGGCTTAAGATTTGTGTGCAGTTAGTCAAAGAAGCGTCCACGAGTCTTATCTGTCACTAAGTTATACCTGAAAAGGTTACATTTTCAACATTTTTTTCTCCCTTATTTCATTGTTAACCTACCGTAGAATTTTGCACAAGTCAATTTCGATACTTTAATTTCATTATACAAAAAAATTAGACATTTTTATGGTATAAACCCGATTTATTAAAGGACCACCTTAATCAAATTAATTTGATTTATATATATGTATTTAAACACGATTATATAATTGGCATCAATAATTTAATCGCTTGGCAACGGTTCCATTAAGTAGAAATTAAAACGTTTTTTTTTTATTGGGCAAGAACGGAACAAAGAGTCGTTTCGATATCAACATGGGAAGGATAATTATTATTAAGCAACAACTCGCACGCCTTCATAAATGTTACGCAATTGTCACCATTACCACGACAACATTTCCCGACGCCTTTCACTCTGGTAAAGAAATTCTACCTCGTCTTGCGACTCGAGTCGCCCGCGACTTAAAAGCACATGCCGCCGGCACGATCGCAAAAAGATTCGCACGCATTTAGCAGTGGATTAACGGTGAATTTTTGTGAGGATGTACGAGGAGACAGACATTGAATCACCTTAGGAGACTCTTAAACGGTCTCCGAGGTCGTTAACGACGTGAAACAGCCTCGATGCACCGAAGAACTTGCACTGCATTATTCACTTTCGGTCTCTCGGGATTGGATTTTTGCTGAATAAAAAGCGGCAATTAACGTCTATGCGATTCCCACGTGATAGAAAAAAGAAGTAGAATATTTAAAAAGTTAAAAACCAAGAATTATTATAAGAACGAGGATATACATTATTTAACATTTTAAGTACCTCTAATCAAGAGAGATGGATGACACCAAAAAGAGGATAATATTACTAGATTAAAATTATTTCAAATTTGTATTGTTTAATTCACAGTATATTATTTTCATACTTATTAAAAAAAGAGAACAAGAAGTTTTACGGGTAGTAGAAGAAGAACGAGTAACGCATGTATATTGCGTAGATATATTTCCTCAAGGCTACTCGATGCACGTTACATACAATCGTCGTCGTTATTTTTATAAAAACTAATATAATAAAATTATATTCGCAAATTAACAGCACATACAGTTTCCAGCAATATGAAAAACAAAACAAACAGGATAATCAACGGGCATACAAAAAATATACATGAAAAATAAAAAAAAAGATTCTTGCCATAAAAGAAAAACCGATGGATAAGTAAAGAATTCCCAAAGATGATATGAGAAAGTATGTTAAATAAGATAGTGGGAGGGACATGAAAGACAACGAAAAGTAAGCAGAGGAGAGAGAGTTGTGCTTACCTTCATGTTCGAGCGGAGTTATACTACTGATGTCGGCGGCAGTGCTGGTCAGTTATTTTATAGCCGGCTCCCTTTTAACTGGACCCCGAATTCGTCGAAACTGCCTTACGAGGCCTCTCTTCTCCCTCCTTAAACCTCTTTACGCAGCTCCATGAGGAGGAAAAGACATGTACGTCATAGGTGTACAAATCTTGCATATTCACCTCGCGTCTTCGTAAATCGCTCCACGTCGTGTAAACATCGCTAGACATACAGGGATTCCTCAACTGATTTAAAACTTATCCTAAAACTTCCTGAAATGTTTGACTTTAATTCCATCTGTATTTTTGCGTATTGTAAAAGTTTATATTGTGAAAGTTTTTTTTAAACCTAGCCGAACACGGGGAAAAGTGATTCCTCACTTGCTACGGTAATCCCGTTCTCGGGGAATTCCCCCTCGAGCTTCTCAATCCCCGGAATAGTTACAGTCTAAAAAAAATCACAAAACGATGAATTAACACGTTTGTTGCAATCATTGAGAGAATTTCGCGCGCGATATTAGAGACAAACAGAGAGAGAGAGGGGGGGAGGGGGGGAGAGAGAGAGAGGGGAGAGAGAGCGAAAGAGAGAAACAGAACGTCAGCGTTTTTGCACGAACGCGCGCTCGTTAGCGGGATTCAGCGAAAATTGCAAAAATAATATTTGGCTGGCGTTAAGTTAACGGGCGGTATGCTCGTACCTCGTTAACTCCGTCGCTAGCCACGAGCAAATTATTGCTTCCGTTTCGATAGCCGCGCGAAAACAGCGCGATCGCGACCCGCGTGAGAAAAATCACGAATCCCATGCGGATTAGCGCGAGCGTTGCGCAAAGTGCATAAGGATTGCGTGACAGACTGCACCGCATCGCACCGGGGCGATGATGCGTTCTCTCGAAGGTGCGTGTTGCCGACCAAAACAATCAGGCAGCGGTAGAATGTAACGTGAGATTGCGAAAAATTTCACCGAAAGTCTGCCCATGTAATAGTTATATAACGAAATAATAAAAACGATTATATAATGACGATAGTAATAATAATTAAATTAAATATAGTTTTATTTATTAATTTAATTTTGAAGTGTGTTTTTATTAAATCTCAAAATTGCGAATTATTTAGAACCCATATATTGCGCCGCATTTTTACAGTTTAATAAAAATTTGTATAATAAAAAATTGTACATAGTTTTATATTATTCTGCTTGCTATTGCAAAAGTGACTGAACAACAAAGAAAGGTCATGACAATTAAAAACAATTTGCAACTTTTGTATGTTTTATTAGATATAATTTATACAGCTTTTAGGTATGCGCGTGCCCTGTTTGTCGCTTAGGATTTTATGACTCGTAATAAATTTATCCGATCGTGCATACAATAGGACATGGAATATTGTATTATTAAATCGAGAGAGGCCAGCCGTGTGCACCTGTTACGGACATCTCCCGCGTAATCCATATTTTACAAACGCAATATCGATAGCCGCCAGCGAGATATTTCCTTTGTTCTCATGCCTAGAATTAACATCATTAATAAATTGCAGCATCGAGAATGACTAGCAATGCTTCGTTCATGCGCTAAATCGCGAATTTGCAAAGAATAATCGTAGAGATGATTGTCGTCCGAGGGCGAAAAATATCTTATAAAATTTGCAATACCATCAACGGAGCACAATTACAAAATGCGCAACTGTCAAAATACTGGAAGCTTTAATCATTTTTTATTTAACTATTATTTTGTTTTTAAAACGGAGACAGCTGTCTATAGACATGAGTAAAAAAACTGTAAACATGAAAGTACACGAGTATCTCAATTTAATTTTTACGTATCCAACAAATTACGATATAATTACTAATTATAATACAAACAAATTATTATATTAACAATCCGCATTTCTGGCAATCTGGAGATCTAATTAACCTAATTGTTTATTATTAATTCATCCGATAGCGTTATTCAAATTAATACATACCGGAACATCCGCGGAACAAATGTGGAAATCAATGTTCGCACATGCGAAGATGGAATATAACTATTAGTGTAAAAGTTAACTATTAGTGGAAAGTTATTAATAGGAATTGAAAACGACATCAAAACTATTATTTTCGATATCTCTCAATATTAAGTAATAAACTAATAAATACAGTAAATTCAAGGCTAATAGGAATCTGCGCTGTAATTCGTGCGCAGAGTGTAATATACAATAAGTAATAAATAAAATCTGAGCTCTAAATATACCGATGTCTTGCGGTAATACCAATATTATTCCGATATAATATTATAATTAGAACGCTAATATATCAAGCCAATTTATAATTTATTGGAAATTTACACTATATATATATTTTTTTTACGTATAAATATTTATATTTATATATTATACAATACGCATATTTTACGAAATATTTTTCAGAAGAAAAAAATTATTTATATGTAAATAATGTCACGCGGAATTTACAAAGAGATTTCATGACATGCAATTCACCGAATTTTTTTCATTCTTTCACGAGTTAAAAACAAGCTAGATTGTTTATTTTATTAATTGCATAAATGAAAAAATACATATTTCAAAAAAATTTAATCGATAAGTGAAAGAATATACTGAATATCGGTAAAATGCTTTCATTTTTGGATAATACGTAAACTCGTTAATTTAGAAGTAATGTGAAAGATTAATATCGGCATTGTGCCATTTTTATAATACAAATTCAGTCACAAAGCCAAATAAATTGCCTGAGGTTTTTTTTTGCTATTTTTTTTGTTCATCAAACGAGATCAAGATGACGGATGATTCCACTTTTTCACTTCGCGTATCAAAACTTATGTTAATGTTTCCTACGAACGTGGACTTTATCCTTTTTTGATATTATCATATCAAAAGGGATCTACGCAAAACGTTTTCTTCACTATGCGCACGTCGATATTGGCTGATTTAAAGCCACATTAATACTAGAGTTTCTCAACGAAAGCACATAATGTTACGCCGTCTGTTAGACAAAATAAATAAAAGTGGTCCATTAGTTAATACGTGTGAGAGGCAATGACGTGTGAAAATAAACTTCTTATTCGGAGAAAAGAATATTTATGCATTCTTTTGTCTCGAGGTATCACGCTTTTAGCATAAATTAAAACATCGATTCTCTCATCAAAATTAATAAAAAACGACATCACAACACAGAGTAGACATATTTCTAAATATACATAATATATGGATAAAAAAGAAAAAGTAAATAAAAAAAAGAAATAATGGACAAGCATTATTGTTTATTAAAAATAAATTAAAATATATTGATTAAAAATCAATATAACTCTTGATGTCAAATTAACAATATAAATAATAAAAAAGGCATGTAAGAGTCGGTTATAAAGTTCGCACAAATAACAAGTTAAAAAGTTAAGATATGAAATTCTGACTGTATAGTTTATTAATTAGTAAAGCAAGTTTTTACTATAATCGAAGTAAGATTGGTATGAGATAAGCAATAAAAACTATAAAGTTAATTATTGCTTGATATTCGTCGAAACTTCCTCTTCTAAAATTAAAAGCTGATGGTGTCAATATTATTAATAATACCTAAATGAGATCGATATGACGAAAGAATTATATTAATGTTACGAGATAAACACGTATTACAAGCAAATTGAAGAATAACAGACAATGCAATTGGAACAGAATGGATATGACATTGCGATAAATATACCTGCGGGAGGAGCCTTTTGGCAAACTTGAGAAAAGTTCCGTGTTTTATATATTCTCGAATGACTTGAAATCATCTAACGAGGCCTCCACACTTTAGTGGCCAGCTTTTAGACACTTTTAACACAAACCGAGGGTTTTGAATTCGCGTGTGGAATATTCCATGCGAAATCCAGACGTAACCCGAGAGCCACTCCCGCCCGCCACTGTGTCCTCGTTCGCTTTGAATTTATTATAACTTCGCGAACAGGGATGTGTCTGTATATATATACACATATATATGTATTTCTGTCCGAATACACCCTTCCGCGACGCGCGCCTCGGGTCATTCCTGCAGAAATTCAATTCGTTATACGCCCCTGTGCGCGTTATTTTATTATGTCCAGACACCGCAAAAAACCACACTGGGATGCGCAAACTTTTTCCTCGGGAACGACATCCAGAGTATTTCCGGCGTTGTTCGCCTTCTCTCTTCTTATCCTCTCAACATTATATATAAATATCAAAGAAGAAATGCCGCCCCTTTAATGATAGAGATTTCAATAGCTCTTGAATACTAGAAATTATTAATATTTAAGTAAACGGAGTTTTTGAATAGAGTTACTATTATTATTCACAGTTTCAAGTGTAAGTTGTACATACGTCAACGAAACTTTGAATCGAAGCCTTAATTGCATTTCTCCAAGTATACAATTATGAAATCCAAGTTGTAAAAATCTCTCACATATCTTCGTCACATAACTATGTTACTTAAAAAAAAATTAGATCGCGCATCTACGACATCGTACGTGTGTTCTTTTATTCTTCTTTCTCTTTCAGTTTCCTATTCCTCTTTTGTCCGATATAAATTTACACGGGGATGGAAAATCTGCTCCCGTATATTCCGAGGAGACTTTACCACTAGACGGACGCGCGTCCACGCATACATGATGCATGCTATCTCGCGGAGACAAAGGTTGTCCAACCACACCTAATGTTTGGCATACCGAATGTCATCTTGTGTAAATTGGCTTACCACACGTAGAAAGAGAGAGAGAGAGAGAGAGAGAGAGAGAGAGAGAGAAGAAGCATACAATTAACCCAAATTTCCGTCACTTCCTAGTTTATTCCACTTTAAAATCGACTTTTCGAGATAATGACATAATTAAGAATGTTTTATACATATTTTCAAAGTAATAACAAAATTATGAAAAAATTACAATTATTCTAAATCACGTTTAAAAATAATACGACAAATTTGGTGACGATTTATTATCTAGATCATAAGTTATTTTAATAAATAATAGTATTTTTTTAATCTGTGCTCCAATAAAAATATAAGGAAATGTGTGTTATAAAATAAATAATAAAATTCTCTATTTTACGTAGTTACATTGCGATGCATGAACTAGTTGCCCAGTAAATAAACAAAATATTTATTTGTTCTATATCTTTGTAACTAATCAGTGAATCGCAATGAAACTTTGCATAAATTATTTTGAATATTTA